GATCCTGCAGCGCGTACGCGCGGCGGCCAGCTACAGCTCGAGACTGAGGCGAAAGACCATAGTTGCCTTTTTGAAGTCCTGTTCCCAACAGGCCTCCACAGGCTCCAAGATGATGGAAAGAGGACCACCACTGTTTTTAAAACTTTTTTTACAAGCATTTGAAACAACTAAGTCATGTAAAGGATCTTGACATGTTTTAAAGAAAAGTCAACTAGCAAATTTATTGGTACTAGGAAACTTATTTACTTTGGAGCCAGGAGCTCAAGAATAGCAAGATGGGGACCAGCAGTTAGCATGATGGTTATGTCGCTGTACTCCCATGTAGTCAACTACAGTTCGAATCCCAGACCCAGTGGCTTAAAACTCACACTGAATGCGTGTGCATGCATGCCCAGAATCCTGAGAGGAGAATGGATTGCAGCGTGGCCATCTCCCCAGGGGGTTATTTCTCGCTTTGTCTCTCTGTTTCTATCTGGCGAGTGCATGCGCCCTACAGCAAAAACTCCAAAAAAGAAAAAAAACCAACCCCCCCCTCAAAAAAAATAGCAAGATGCAATTAAAGCAAAATGAGTTTATTTGAAACATTTTTTTCTTGTGGTTTTTATCGTTCATGTTAGCTTTCAAGTGCTTCTATTAAAATATTAATTCCTTGCTTTTGCTTTTTAGTTTGCTTGCCCTGGTACAGGGTGGGGAAAGAATGGAAACAGGACAAGGGCAAGACTAAAGAGGCTGGTGCAGTCACTGAGACTGCAGGTGATAGTGACCTGGACAGGGGCAGTGAGGAGGGATAAGTGAAGACAAGTAGAAAGAGATTCAGGAAGTAGAGCCATTAGGACTTTACCTGGGACCAGACTAAAAATTTTAAATCACAGAATGTCCCCTAAGTCACTGAAAATTTGGCCCTGACCCATTGAAGTCTGATTTGTAAGAATAGGTAAGAGCTTACACATTTTTGAAAATAGAGAGTAAGTGGGCATTTGCCTTACATTAAAAGACATAATCAATGTGATGAAAATGGGAAGGTACTAGCAGAGAGCAGAAATCAGTACTACATTTTTTTGTTTAAGATTTTTGTCACAGGGCGAGTGTATTCACCAAAGAGAGAGAGAGAGAGAGAGAGAGAGAGAGAGATCACCCCCTATTATGGCTATGCCATAATCTCTTCTCCACTCTCCTGGGATTTTGGGCACACACGCACTCTGATTTTCAAGCAGCCAGCTCCAGGACTCCAATTGAGGTGGGCCATGTGGGAGTCCAGTGGCTTAACCACTACACCATGTGCTGGCCCTTGTGAAGAGATTCTAATGACAAGGAAATTCTCAAAAATAGTGGAGCATAATGGTTAAAAGTCTGAGCTTTGACATTAAATAGAAATTAAATATTATCTCTGCTGTTTGCTAGTATATGTGACATTTGCCAAGTTACTTAATGTCTCTAAATTTGTTTCCTTATCTGTTTAGAAGGAGGTGGTCATGCTGATTAAATAAAAACATGTATATATAATCCTATATACTCAACAAATACTTAGTATTAATACCACAGCATAAAATATTTTAAGACAAATACAAAATTTTACTTACAAAGTGATCAGTATTTTAAAAAATATTATTTTATTTATTCATTCATTTATTTTGACCAGAGAGAGAGAAAGAGAGAGAGAGATATTAAGTGAGAAAGCAAGCCACCAGGTCCAGAACTTGAACTGTGGTTGGCCACGTGGGAGTATCCAGCACCTTAGCCACCATGCTACCTGCTGGTCCCCTTTGATCAGCTTATTTAAAAAATATATTACATGCACTGAAGTATTATGAGATAGGATATCAGCCAATAAAATTAAGTGCCTTTTTATATATCTTCCGTAATCAGTGTAGGGTACTTCCACAATAGGAGAAAAACAAGTACTAAAGAGATGGTGACAAAAGTTAAAGCAGGCACCAGGAGTTGGTGTAATGGCAATGTCGCTGGACTCCCATGTAGTCAACTGCAGTTTGAGTCCTGGACCTGGTGGCTTAACTCATGCTGGGCGTGTGTGCGTGCATGCCCAAGATCCTGAGAGGAGAATGGAAGAGAATACTGTGGCGTGGCCACCCCCCCTGGGGGTGATTTCTATCTCTGTCTTTCTGGCAAATGCACACGCCCTATAGCAAAAACATCTAAAAAAAAAAAGTTATGAAAGTAGTATATCAGACTGCTACACTGAAACCTCAATCTCAGGGTCAGTAGATGTGTAGTGGTTATGTTGCTGGACTCCCACATGGCTGAACGCAGTTCAAGTCCTGGACCTGGTGGCTTAAAACTCATACCAGGTGTGTGTGTATCCGTGCATCCATGCCTGTCCAAGATCTGGGGAGGAGAATGGAGAAGGGATTGTGGTGTGGCCATCCCTGCCCCCCCCCCGGGGGGGGTGATTTCTCACTTTCCCTCCCACTGTTTCTGTGTATCTCTCCAGTGAGCAGTGAGCTCAAGCACCCTAAGGCAAAAAAAAAAAAAAAAAAAAAAAAAAAACTCAAAAAAACAAAACAAAACAAAAAACCCAACCCATTGAGGCTATTCTTATCCTCTTAAAGTTAACTAGAACCAGTCAGCATATATCAATAGTTTCTAATATGCTATGAATACATTAAGATATCATTTAAGATAGTGAGTGCTCTTCTCATAGCCATTTTTCTTTAGATAATGAGAAAGTAACTCATCATTCAGATCCTTGACTAAAATAGAAAAAAATACACTTAAGGAAACACAAAATTTATTACTTTGAAATTGTATATTTTAAGGAACCAGCAGTTAATGTAATGGTTATGTTGCTGGACTCCCACGTAGTCGACCACGGTTTGTGTCCCGGACCCGGTG